GATATGAAAAGTTTCCCATGATGCTCAGTGATCTCAGCTTTCTAGGTTTTTGGTGACTAACTTTATTGAAATAAGTGTATCTCAGAAGTAGGCTATTCAAAAGGTGCTAGAACAACTATACGCCTTAACAAATAAAAATAATTATTATTTTTAATTAATAGATGATGGACAGCAAAGAATTGGAAGGATAGGGGCAAGTAGAGGAAGAGGTAGAGGAAGGACGGCATGGATGAACAACACCCCAAACCAGAATAACAGCATACAAAGTGTTGAACCAAAAGATCTTAAAGTCTCAGATCAAGATAATGTTAAACGAATTGGACGTGGGCGTGGTTGTCGGAGCAATAATTTGGACCATGCTGGAATTGCTGTTCCTAAAAAGACTTCAAATTCGGGAGAARTTTCGACCAGTAATAAACATAGTAACCTAGATTTAATGGGAAATGAAAAAGAAATAGATGGGAGTTCAAAAGCAGAAGATGATGGATGGATTGTAGTTGGAAATAAAAAGAAAATGGARGAACAGAAGGGTTCTGAAAAAGGAACAGATGAAAAAATGAGTACTGGCAATCAATTCAGTGCAAAGTTGAAAAAATTGAATAAAAGGGATGATAAGGTGATTGTGATAAATTCTCAACAAAAAATGGAAAGATGGAGAAGGAGAAGAGACGAGAAGAAAGAAAGAAGAGTGGACAATAATGAACAGAAAAGAAAGACTTTTGAAGATAAAGAAATTACTTCAGAAAATATAATTACACCGAACGATTTTGACAGACAAAGAAAACATTATGAAGGAAAGAGCAAAGCTGTCCTGAATAGTGTAGGTATTGAATCTGAAAGTACAACTAACAAGACTACTCAAGAGAAAGAACCAAAAAAGGTAGAAATTGTAAAGATAATAAAAACTGAACAAAATCAAAAAGAAATGAAAATTTTGCTGAAAAAGAACAATGAGAGGAAATTGCCCCATGAGGAGGAAGCAGTTTGCAAAGATCCTGGATTTGAACTTTGTGAAGGTGATGATGAATTCCCTGACTTACAAGCCTCAAGTAAAGCATCAAGTACTTCTCTGGCCAGTGATTGGTTGTCGGGTGGGAGTAGAATGCCRATTATATCTTACAGTGCTGTATTGAAGGCCATGCCAAAGCCTAGGGTAGGTTGGTTACAATTGTATTGACCTTCAGGTGTTGCTATGTTGGATGGATAGGTTCCCTCCCTCCCTTCCTTCCTTCCCTTCCTTCCTTCCTTCCTTCCTTACTCATTTACTCTTTCCCTTCCTGACCTCTCCCTTGTTCTCTTCAAACAACATCAATTTTCTTCAACCTTTTTCCTCCCTATCTTTTTGATCACCTCCCTACTTTGCTTTCCCCTTCACCTTCCACTTTCCCTTTCCCTCCTTCCTTATTTCCTATTATCCTTCCAGCCCCCTCATTATTTCTTATTCACTTTCTTCTGGCTGCCTCTCCTTTCTGGCCCCCTCCTTCCTTCCCAAACTACTTCCTTCATTCTTTTGTTGCCTCACTCCCCCTTTTTCCTTCATGCTCCTCCCTCTTCCTGACATCCCTTTTATGTGTGTCTCCCTACCTCCCTTACTTGCCTTCCTTTCCCTTCCCCTGYTACCATCTTATACAGTGTACTTTTCTGCCTCTTTYCATGCATTGCTTCTTCCCTCCTTCCTGTCTCCATTTCTGCCCTACTTCCTCATCCMCTTATCCACACCTGCATACATACCTCCCTCCTTACTYGCCTTCTTACCTTGTGATTCCTTTCTGCCTCCTTATTCCTTACATGGTCACCTTCTTCCCTCCCTCCTATCCTGTGTATCTTCTTTCC